TGCTGAACGGTCTGTGGCCTGGGCATCAAGACACCTACCCTAGAATGCAATTTTCTCTACAAAATAATAGAATCAAATTTAAACTTATTTGAAAGGGTAGTTACTGGAGTAAGTATGTGAAATGTTCTCTGACTTCAGGAATGCTCCTCCTGGTTTTTACTTCCTTCTGTTCAAAGGACTTCTTAAGGATACTGAGTGTTTAGAAAGAGCAGTCAAGTCTGAGGCTATGAGCTAATAACATGGCTCTAGTGATCTTGGAGGTTAATGTAACTCCTGAATTCTCCCACAGATTGATATGCAAACTGTAGTCCATGTTATATCATAATTTCCTGGCCCTTTCATCAATGCAATGTGAGCTTTATGAGAACAAGAGATATGTTTTGTGTGTTTTTGTTTTCTCCATGGCTAATAAAGCATCTTGATTAGAATGAAATACTTTATATATTTTGTATATGTAGAAGAAACTAATGGACACCTGTTACTTTAAGGTGGGGAAAGGGAAGCCATTTATCTCCCATTTTATTCCTTCACTAATATGTTACTATGTTATCTGAGATAAGAGTGAATATTTTTACTATGTCTCTTTAAGGAAATATATTGGTATAAAAATTTAGGAAACTCAGTGAGAAACGGAATCAGAGAAAAAGTCCTTGAATTATAACCTGTATCTTATATTATCTGTTTATTGCCTTTGGGTATGTATGCTTACCATACAGAGACATAGAGAAACAAGAAGAAAAATAAGAAATTACCTGCTGGGGGATAGCCATTCTACAGTCCCCTCCCTTCCATTATTTTCCTGGGCTTTTGAGCATGCATACACATGTACCCAGCATGATTTTCAACTCACCAGGTCTGGCAATCAAACTATAGTCGGCCATGGGGAGTCCAGCAACGTAACCACCATGCCACCTGTTAGTCTCATTGTTTTTTCATTTTTAAAGTATATTTTAATTGATTTTTTCTGAGATAAAGAGAGAATAGGAGTGACACCTCCAATAGGGTCTTCCTCCCATGATCCACCCCCAGCCTCAGTCATCCAGGATCACTAGCACACATGTACCCAGCCTGCATGTTCAGGGATACCCTGGGAGACAAACTTTGACCTTCTCATGTGACCTCAGCAGTTCTGCAGAGCATTGTGCTACTACTATGCCGTCATGACTAGCCAGTCTCTTAGGTTATTAAAGAAAGGCAATTTATGGGAAAAAAAGGAGTTTCACATATGTGCTAAAATTTATTACTTTTTATTACTGCTTGCTGATATACACATGAATATTCTGTAATTTCTTGATCTATCCTACTGAAATTATGTCTAATATTCTGGTTGACTTAATAATTTCTAGGTTTGACCATTTTGCAAGTAGGACTTCTACGAACAGTCTATATATGTCTTATGGCAGTGATATGTGCATGACTCTCTAGGGCCTTTACCTAAGAATAGAAAAGCTTGAGCACAGTATATGAGTATCCCCAAAACAAATCAGTAGCACCAAACTATTTTCTAAAGTGATTGAACCAATATGCACTCTGACCAAAAGCATTAAAGAGGTTTTGCTGCTTCATCGGTTAACTGATACTTGTTAACTCAGTCTTTTTATTTTAACCATTGAAGTGGATGTGTATTGCTACCTCATTTAGGGTTTTTTTTTTTTTTTTTTTTTTAGATATTTTTGCTATAGGATGTGCATACTCACCAAAGAGACAGAGAAAGACAAAAAAAAAAAAAAAGGCAAAAAATCACCACCCAGGGTGATGACCACTTTACAGTCTCTTCTCCATTGTTCTCTTGAGATTTTGAGTACGCATACACATATGCCTAATATGAGTTTTAAACCGCTGGGTCCAAAACTCAAACCATGGTTGACTACATGGGAGTCCTGTGACGTAACCATCACACCATCTGCTGGTCCTCTCACTTGGGTTTCAATGTTCATTTTCATATGTACTAAGGAGGTTGAGCATCTTTTTAAATATTTATTGAACATTTGGATATTCTCTTTTGTTATTAATATAGTCTCATCTTTAAAACATTTGTATTGTACACGTTTTCTCTCATTCTGTGATTGTTTTAATATTTATATGATAAAATAAAACATAAATGTAAGAATCATCCATGAAAATATATAGATTAGTTAGCTTTTATTGAAATTAAAGTGTTTGTAATCACCTAGACTAAGAAAAATAACTTTAACAACCAACGGTCCATTTATATGCCTTCTCCCAATCCCAGATCCCTCACTCCAAAATTCTTTATTGCCCCAAACTTTACTAATAATTTCCTTAACTATCTTTATAGCTTTATTATGTGTCTTATCTATCCATTCATTAAATAGTGACTTTTTGATAAATATAATTTCTCAGTTTCAATTAAATCGATCTCTTCATTACCTTTAAGACTTTTATGTACCATTTCAACCGTTTTTTTAATTCAAATTTGATGAAGATATCTTCTTATATACCTTTTAAAAGTTTTGTTATTTTGACTTTCACATTTATTTTTTTATAAACCGAAGTTGACTTTTTGTCATACTTTGTTTTTTCCATACAGCTATGCTGTTTTCTTAGCATGTGTTATTGGAAGTTTGGCATTTTCTCCTTGATCTTCAAAACTACATGTGTCATAAAATTAGTGTCAACTGGTGCATAAGTCTCTAGGTATTTTCCAGTTTTCATTCAGTTGCTTATTTATATCTTAACAATGGATATGATACAGAAACTAGCATCCCTGCCACAGTCAATCTATCAGGTAAATGCAGGTTAATTAACCTGAATGCAGGCTTAGGAGCAGGAGTTTAAATTTAACATAATATTCTCTGCATCTACCATGAATTAGTTTAAATAATTATTTATTTAAATAAGAATTATTTATTTAAATAATTATTTATTTAAATAAGGATTATTTATTTAAATTATTATTAAATTATTAGCATTTATTTTCAAGACTTCTAGCTTCCCTAAAATTAAATTTCAAGTGTGGAATGCAGGGAAAACAAAAACAAAAACAAACAAAAAACTAGAACAACACTCTTGCCACTGAAGTAATGACCACAGATTGATGATGGTAGAGAGCCTTTCTGCATGTGTATCATGAAAACAATTCCAAGGAGGATGAGAGTCATGGCAATGGGTAATTTTAATCAGTTAATGTGCCTAATAATTATTATCCATTATATATTAATGACAGCCCTATAAATAATAGAGGTTGAATTCATTCCAATACTTTTCATATACAGTGTGTTCATTATTTATTTATTTTGCCATAGGATGTGTGCACTTGCTGGAGAAAGACAGAGACAGAGAGAGATAGAGAGAGAGAGGGAAAGTGAGAAATCCCCTCCCATGGGAACCAGCAGTTAGCGTAATGGCTATGTTGCTGGACTCCCACATCGTCGACCGCGGTTCGCGTCCTGGACCCGGTGGCTTAAAACTCATGCTGGGGGCGTGTGCGTGCGTGCCCAAGATCACGAGAGGAGAATGCAAGATTGCAAGAGGAGAATGAAGGAGAAAGGATTGCGGCATGACCATCCCCCCTGGGGGGTGATTTCTCGCTTTCTGTCTCTATGTCTCTCTCTGTCTGGTGTGCGCCCTAAAGTGAAAATCTCTCAAAAAAAAAAAAAAAAAAAAGAAATCCCCTCCCAGTGGGAGAAGGCTAGCCACAATCACTTCTCCATTCTCCTCTCAGAACTCTGGAACACATGTCCACACTCCCAGCATGTTTTCCAAACTATCTTACCTCTGCTCTACCTTCTGGCCCCTATTTAGCAACTCCTGGTATAAAACGTATGTCTTCCATGATATATCACTAAGTTGGCGAACAGCAGAATTGAGAAAAGGATTCAGGAAATTCTTTAGACTTGTATGCCCGAACTTTTGGTGTGATCACTCTCTACTCTGCTATGATATAAACTTCATATTGTTTCTTCTTTTTCTGCTAGTGATATAAAGAATTGAGGCTCTATTAATCTAGTTTTCTCCTTTACACATTCTGTGCCCTTTCAAAATTATCCCCAAACACTTTTCTTTTAAAAGGCTTCAGTATCATGAAATAGTTTTTAAACATTTGTGTTTGAATATCTTCACCTTAGAGAAAATGGGGACATATTTCTCACATTCGTGGATACCCCAGCCATAGTACATATAGACTCTAATCCATTATTTACTTACATGAGGCAATGTTGCAAGAACTCCTGTATACTTAGATGCTGGCAATTAGTGAAAGACCACAGTCATGAGCAGGGTGTCATTAAAAATATTTCATAGTAAGTATGGCATGCATATTTAGCAAATTTGTATACAAATATGTAGACAGATGGCAGTTTCTAATTATATTTCTTTTATTGTAAAGGATTTATCTTCTGGGAGGTACAACTCAATGCTTTACAATCTTGTCTAGAAAAATTCTTCAAACTTTACATCTTTAGATATTTAAAATAACTGTTTAGTGAAGTTACATGTGCTGGCTTTTTTTTTTTCTTTCACATTCTTTCTATTCACACCTTATGAAAAGTGCAGGAGCCCAAGAAGTTGATTGGCAGAATCCTTATTTATGCAGGAATACTTCTTTTCTGATGGTAGAAAGTAGAAAGATTGGACACTTTCCTTGAGAAGCTAAGTAAATGCATGAAGCAGCATAGGTCCCAGTCTCAGTCACTTGCTTTCCACATCCCAACCTCAGAAAAGGTAAATAGTATAATCTTCTCCAGTGGTCACTGGACACATGGCCGCTAAATTCTGACAACATTGAACTGTGCTCTAAACCAGCAGCATGAGCCCAAGATTATTTGTCCAAGGCAACTGTCTTTTCCATTATTTTTTTAAAAGCATTCTTCATGTCCTTATTCCTGAGGCTGAATATCATGGGGCTCAGGAAAGGGGTAATTACAGTGTAAGGGATTGCTATGAGTGTGTCATCACCCCCCGAGGCTTCTGGTTTTAAATAAACAATAGATGAAAAACCAAAGTGTATAATGACCACTGTGAGGTGAGAGGCACAGGTAGAAAATGCCTTCTGCTTCCCCTCAGATGAAGGGATCCTGAAGACAGTAGAAAGAACGAACACATAGGTCAGGATGATGAGTAGGAAAGTTCCCAGCAAGCCTGACACTGGTATCACTGTTATAATGAATTCTGTGAGGTCACTGTCCTCACAGGACAACCTCACAACTGCCCTCATATGACAGAAGAAGTGCTTAACAAAATTGGGTTTACAGAAATAGTTTTTGAATACTAGTGCAGTCTCTGTCAAAGAGATCAAGAAACCTCCAACCCAAGCAGAGGCCACAAGATGTCCACATATAATGTTGGTCATGACCAATGGATATCTGAGAGGATTGCAGATGGCCAGATACCGGTCATACCCCATCAATGTGAGGATGATACAGTTTGTGCCACCAAGTCCCAAGAAGAAACACATCTGCAAGCCACAACCTGTGACCGAAATGCTTCTGTTCTTGGCCAGTAGATCTGTCAGCATCTTCGGAATGATAGATAATGTGTAGCAGGTCTCAGAGAATGAGAGTGAACTAAGAAAGATGTACATGGGGGTGTGGAGAGATCTATCTACCCAAGTTAGACCCATGATGGTCAGATTACCTGCAAGGGTGAAAAGGTAGAGGCAAAAGAAGACCACAAAAAGAAATGTCTGTACATGCGGATAAGCTGAAAAGCCAACAAGAATGAATTCCTTCACGATCGTCTGATTGATCTTCATTGTTTGAATGTCTAAAATTTGAAAGAAACAATAAACAAACATTTATTTGTCCCTTATTCTTTGATGTCATAAAATGAAAATTCTCATGTGAACGCAACAAATTATCAGAATTACAACTGCATCTACTTTTTCATTTAGTTTAGAAAACCATGTGTATGGAGTTCTGAGATGCCCCATGCTGGGATTTTGACCACTAAAGACCCTCTGCCCAGATTTTACCCTCCTTTTCCCCAGTTTTAGCCAGGAGCCAGGATTAGACAATCTGCCGCCATCTGTATTTGAGTTCTGAGCAGCTCCATAAAGGGATTTCAACCACCAAAGACCCTTGGCCCAGACATCACCTTCCTGTTCCCCAGGGTTACTCAAGACCTAGGATAAGCCCAAAACAGTACTGTATATAGACTGCAGGTCACCTCCTTCTGCATTCCTCTGAATGCTCATATTTAACTCCAAAACATAGGACAAAATGTGTAATCCATCAGATGATCAGAAATCACTGCAGAGGCACAAGATATATGAGAAACCAAGAAAATATCTTTCCTCTAGTGGTAAAGAATAACTTCTCTCCTTTCACAAAGAATACAAGATAACTCATGGAAATGTCAGATAAAGAATTTAAAATATTCATAGTGACAAAACTAAGAGAGATGCAAGCAAATAGAGACCATAAACTCCAGAAGATACAGGAGAAAAGAAACACTGAGTTCCAGGAGGTGAGGCAGTTCTTGAATGACCTGAAAGAGGAGATACACATCATAAAAAAGAATCAAACAGAATCATTAGAGATGAAGGCTATAATATAGGAAATCAAAACTTCTCTTGAAAATATCCAAAACTGACTAGATCATGCAGAAGATTGAATCTCAGATGTAGAAAATAGTACCTTTGACCTAGAAAAATTCACTCAAAAGACAGAAAATAACTGAACAAAATGAGAATAACATATGTTCGATAGTAGATACCATTAAATGCCCAAACATCTGGATCATTGGTATCCCAGAAGGATGAAGAAACTAATAAGGACATTGATAATCTAGTCCATGAAATTCTGGAAGAAATTTTTCCAAACCTAGAGAGACACTCAAATATCCAGACCCAAGAAATACATAGGACCCCATGTAGAATTGACCCAAGAAGATCTTCCCCAAGGCACATCATAGTTAGATTGAACAAAATCACAGACAGAAACATGATTCTAAAATTGGCAAGAGAGAAACTTCAAGCTACTTTCAAAGGATATCCCACAAGACTAATGTCAGATCTCTCATCAGAAACAATGCAAGCAAGAAAAGGATGGGAAAATATATTAGAAATGTTAAGTAAAAAAAATTTCAGCTGAGAATACTATACCCAGCTAGATTATCTTTCATATGGAAATAAACAAGCAAACAAACAAAAACATTCTCAGATAAACAAAACCTGAAAGAATTTATCAACAACATACCAGCTCCCCAAGAAGTGCTGAAGGAAGTACTATACCAGGAAAACTAAAGTCAGACACACAGAAATAAGAATACAAGAACAACCAAGAGTATGGCCAGCCTAATGGCGGGGACAAGTCTGGAGTTGAACATTAACTTCTAGAGTTTAAATGGAAATATCAGACCACAGTAACAATACAAATTCAATAGAAGAGAAATTAATTACCTGAGTCTGAACTAGTGAAATAGAATTCTTTTTTTACTTTAGACTAAAACATTACTGATTTTCTTCAATGCTTTGATTTCCATATTTAAGGAATTTGTCTCTTCTAGAACTGTTGATAGGTTCATCTACCTACTATTTGAACTTAATCCTAACCTTTTTCCTGGTTTTAAGTCTATTTAATGACTACAGTAAGCATTATAGCCCCAGATGGGGGCTACTTTATAGTATGTTCACTTTACTCGCTGAAATTTACACCTAAAGTCAGACATGCACTCATAAATATGTGTACATCAGCTGTGTTTGCTATTAAAAATCTTTAAATTAATTAAGATATTTAGTGACTCAATAAAATGTGAAAAAAAGAGGCATAGAAAACAACTGTACATATCAGACAGTATGGGAGAAGTGGAGGAATTGGCAGAGGGTGAGAGGTAGGGAATTAAGGGGGGTGGAGTAAAATATATAAGAAACAAGAAATAGAAAATTATTTGTTAATGCTAACATGTATGGTTATATCCTTGATAGAGCCAATCTACAATGTATACTGGATGAAAATTTTCATTTTGTATACTGTATTGGTGTATAGCGAATAACTATAGAAAAAAGAAAGAAAGAGAGAGAAAGAAAAAGAAAGAAAAAATAAGAAAGAAAGGAAGAAAGAAAGAAAGGAAGGAAGGAAGGAAGGAAGGAAGGAAGGAAGGAAGGAAGGAAGGAAGGAAGGAAGGAAGGAAGGAAGGAAGGAAGGAAGGAAGGAAGGAAGGAAGGAAGGAAGGAAGGAAGGAAGGAAGGAAGGAAGGAAGGAAGGAAGGAAGGAAGGAAGGAAGAAAGAAAGAAAGAAAGAAAGAAAGAGAGAAAGAAAAAGCAAGAAAGAAGAGAAAAGAAGGAAGAAGGAAGGAAGGAAAGAAAATCATGTGTATGTAGTTGGTGTTTTTCCATTTGTTTTTTTCCTTTATTCAGCAACCAATTATCAATGGCCTATTTGATTAAAAAAAGCTTGCTATGGCCTATTTTTGAAAAGGAGTTTTTAATTGGTTGATAATATAATAACGGAGAAAATAACCCAAATAAAGTTCAGATGAAAAAAAATGATTGATGACTTAAAGCACATTATTTTTTAAATTTTAATTAATTAACTTCTTTTAGAGGTTTTTGAATTAGAGCACATGCACTGAGAGAGAGAGAGAGAGAGAGACAGAGACAGAGACAGAGACAGAGACAATGAGAGGGAAAGTGAGAAATCAACCTCCAGGGGGCATGGCCACGCTGCAATCTCTTCTCTTCCATTCTCCCTCTGGAATTTACATGCCTGGCATGAGTTTTAAGCCACTTGGTTGGGGGCGCCAATAGTGGTCAGCCATATGGAAGTCCAACAACTTAACTGTTATGCCATCTGTTGGCCCTAGAGCACATTCTAAACCCCAGGAAACCCTATCAATTGGCTAATAGACAATGTCAGAGTACAACACAGCAACTTCTACACAATATATAATCTGTAAATATTTACTGGGTAAAAACCAAAAACTGACTTACTAGTAATTTTAGGATCAAACCTGGACGATGGATTATAATTATTGCAAAAGCCACAAATCGTTATTATTTTTTAAGACATTTAGCTCCAAAAATATTAAAATAAAGTAAAAAGCATGCTCCCTTCAACTTATGATGAGAGAGAGGAAGGAAGATACCTTGGGGCCTTTAGGATTTACAGTATGATGCTATTGGCAAACAGGTTCTATGTAAGCGTAGCACAAAGTGGCAACTCACAATTTGCCTGTTTACTTCATGGAAAGCTCATCATCCAGAAAAGAATAATAAATACTTTTTTAGCCATTGTATGATTTCTTTAATAATTCTGTATCTGATTTAATCATGTCTTCTCAGTTCTACCACATGTTGTTTGTCCTTATCTTTAAAACTAAAGCATCCTTTCAGCTGTGTATTATATTGAGCTATTGTTTTTCCTGTCCCACAAGTCCACTAATTTAATACTAAAATTTATAGGGTCTGTGTTTTTCCAAATTCTCTCAAATATGCATTTATTTTATTCTCCACAGCATAATATGAAGTGCATAGGACAGCTGTGAAATGTGTAGGACAGTCGTGATCATTTTGCTGGTTTTCAAAATAAGATAATTCATATCTAAGAGGTGGAATATTTGTAACTGGAATCAAACTATTTCAAATTTAATTTTATATTCTTCCCATTTATCAATGCTTCTTCAGAAAAGAGATTGTGAATAATATATTTCTATATTTTCAAGATAACCATATAGAACATTTTGAAAAAGTAATAACTTCCTGTAAATGTTGAATGGATAGCTAATTGTCAACAAAGCGGTTATTCTACAATTTCCGTTTTAATTTGTTATTCATAGCAAATGAATTTTGAGATGGGAGAGTAACAGACTTTCCACTCTAATTAGATTCAGTTCAGTCTGGGACCAGCAGTTTGTGTAATGGCTATGTCGCTGGACTCCCATGTACTCAACCGTGGTTTGAGTCCTGGATCCGGTGGCTTAAACTAACACCGGTCAGTGTGCGTGCATGCCCAAGATCCAGAGAGGAGAATGGAGAAGAAGGGATTGTGGTGTGGCCAACTCCTCTGGGGGGTGATTTCTCACTTTCTGTCTCTCTGTCTCTCTCTGTCTTTCAGGCGAGTCCACTTGCCCTATGGCAAAAAGATCTCTCAAAAAAAAAAAAAAGATTCAGTTCAGGCTAATATTAAGCATTCTAATGACACAGTCTAGCTTGTCATGAAGAGTCAGAAATGGTAGTAGGAAAATTTTCTTAATTATAATGGTTCCAGAAATAATCTGTTACCCTATGGATTCTATCTTAAATGTTCCCTTGATTCTTTTGTCTTATTAGACCTGGTAAGACTCCTATATTTTTGTAGTCATACATGAGTCACAGGACCTTTTCCTTATCTTTATCAATGCTTGCTCCATTCTAGTTTCCCTTTTCTTTATTATGACTAATTTCATTTTATGTTCTTAACTGAGAGTAATCATCTCCCAGTAGGAAGACTAGAGTAATTTTCTGTCCTCTTTCTTAAGGGTATATTATGGAAGACAGTGTTTAATGAAAGATTAGACTTTCTCATGAGGCATTTTAGAGTAAATCTCCTTCACATACAAATTTAATATGTCTTCTTGGTTTTCAAATCCACTTGCAGATTGTTCTTCCACTTTCTCAACTATAATCAGCTTTTTGCAAATATTTTGATTGTCCTCTCCTCCCCCAGAAATACTGAATTTCAAGAACCCTTTCTGCTTATCCCCAAACCACTGTGAAAAGCTCCCATCAAGAGAGCACCTCATACATCAAGGCTGCTAAGCTTGCTTGATTCTTTACAGTAACTCAGTAAGAAAGGTGTAGATTCTAGAACTGAAACGTGAAGTATATCAGGGAAAAAATAGGATATATTGGCAAAACAAGATGTTGTTTTAGCACTTAGTGTCCTTGGAACAAAACTCAAGCTTTTTCTTTGTCTTCCTTCCTTCTTTCTTTTCTTCCTTTATTTTTAGTTTATCCCTCTATTTCTTCCATAAGCAAGAGCAAGAGCAAGAGCAAAATAGCACCCCTGGGGTCTTCATGCTAGACCCACTCTCAGCTTCAGCTGCCTCTGGATCTTGGCATATGCATGCCTGGTATTCTTAGTCAGAATGCTGGGACTGGTTCTCTGGGCATGAACCTTAAAACAATGTGGGTCAGGTTCACAGAATGCTGTGCTATATTAAACTCCCTAAAATTAAATTGAACATAAGTGGACTTAGAGAAAATTTCACAAATAGATGACAATAGGGTGGGATATAGTATCTTTACCACACACACACACACACACACACACACACACACACACACCAGAATATATCAGAGGTAGAGGAATATTCTGACATTTATAGTCTACTGCTGATGATTCACTAAGTAAATATTTAACACACAGTTAAATAAGGACTGGATAAAGAGAGTTATGTCTCAAAATGTGTATTGGCAATTATTTACATTTTGAAAATGCTTCTGAGTTTATTATGACCTTGAAAAACACCCCTGCCTCCTTTCTCTGGCAGTTTGGGAAGAGAAAGGACATGTATAAGATCAGACTGTTTTGTAGGTAGTTTGATAGAAAGAGTTTGGGTTTTGAGAGGCTGAATGGTGACGTGAGAACCCTGTTGGGGATGCATGTGTCCCTCTCTCACTAATGGAAGAAAGAAGTAAAATAAACATGAAACATAGTTTAGAATATGACTACTCTGACAAAAGAAGTAAGCACATTCTAAAGTCAAAGAGATTGATGATTTGGAGAAAATATGTATGTTAGTCTAAGGATACTTTTTTAAAATTTTGTAATGACAATAAACTATGAGGAAAAGTTAGTCAAATCATCTGAAATAGTTTCCTACCTTGTATATTTTATCAGGCTCCAATGCCAATATACTGTCACAGTTAATGTTCTTCTGAAAGACAATCTTCACATTGCTATTGGAAGCAAGCTCTAGTCTTCACTTCAAAAAGACAGACTGATTCACTATGAATGTCACAGGTCAAAGAGTCTGGATTCTTACTTTAACCAGTGCTACTTTAATGACCTTAGGAAACTCATTGTACCTTCCTAATGTGAGTTTCTCTTGCTGGAATGTAAGGGTACAGTGTTGGTTTTATGCAAGCTTTGGCTTTCTATGTCTTTAGACTTTTGTTACATGAGTTGTGAGGCTAGGTTCTATGTGCTATGATAAACTTCCACCACCTACTAAATTACTATAGCTAAAAGCCTGTCCTTTCTACCAGTTTAGAGATATTGTCTGGTTAATATCAAGGTTTGAGATTCCTCAGCTCTAGAGGTTTGGTTCAGGGTAGGAATCCCAGGGGATTCCGCTCATCTTTCATCAGAGGGAGAGGGAATTTTTCTCATCCACCTTTGTAATTTGCTCTCATTAGTTACAGGGATTTATGCAACATGTGACTTGTAAAACACTTCTGG